CTTCTGCTGACTGCAAATGTTTGCCTTGACTCACCTGTGTTAGAAGAATACCTTGCTCCAGTTATACACATCATCCTTGTGGAGAGAGTTATTCCTCATTAAGAGACGTCTAATTATGCAATCAGGTCCTGACTCCTGACTTGATTTGGAGAAAAGCAAAGAACAAGCACAGGAGAGCCTCTGCTCCCCACTCTTTCACCAGCCTGGAGCAAAGCAAGGCAGGTGAAGCTCCTTCCCCTAAGACAGCAAACTGTGCACAGGTCCCTGCCCTGAGAGGTGCATGGCAGAAAATCCCGATGCAAACTGCACAAAGACCAGAACAAGGCATCAGGAAACAATTGTGTCCTGACCTCTTAAGGACATCCAAGAAGTTTGGACTGAACACTCCCTAATGTGCATGACAGACCTCACAGTACTGAGTCCAAGTGCAGGGAGTTCCTGGAAGCAGGCTGGGAACAGGCCAGGGACAAGGAAGGCCCCAGAGGATGCTCAGAGCTGATAACAGCACAGTTACTGACAGCCCCAGCGCAGGCCAGCCCTCAGCTCCTGCAGGCCCCAGGGCAACCAGCTGGGCACAGAGCAGCACTGGAGGCTTGAGGAGCTCTGACACATCCTCAGGCCTTGCTCTGAGGCAGGATCAAACATGGAACCATTTGAAGTGGCTGTCCTGGTCAATTTTCCAGCCCCCACTGATGGAGATGCACAGCACTGCCACCCCAGCAGCCCCTCAGCATTTCAAGGCACATCTCTCCACTGCTGTAGGGCAAATCCTGCTCTCCCCATTCTCTGCTCATCTGTCTTGTTTTTAACTCCACAGCATAAGACCTGCTTTTCGTGAGAGTCAGTTTTGTGTGGTTATTGAGCTGAGGCAGGTCTCAGTGCAAACACAACACACGAAGGGGAGGCAGGACATGGTCAGAAGCACCAAGGGTGGTGCTGTGAGAGGAGCTCTGTTACACCAATCTGGCACTTCAGCTGCACTGCCAGGGCCAGAGCCACCTAAAGATTTCCTTTCTCATCTTTTTTACCAGGTTACACAGTTACCAAAGCAGCAATCTTTTATTCTTTTGGCAAACTCTAAAAGAACACTGCCTGAAGGAATTTGATTATGTTTAACAATAAATTGAAACATAAAATGTCATCTTGATGTGTTTACAGGCCTAGAAACAATTTAAAATCCCAATAAATTCTTACTAATTTTCACTTCCATAGGCAACCTAACAGTCTGCTGTGCAGAACTCAAAATTCAAGTGATGGAATGGAAGAGAGTCCTTCAGCTCTTCTACATGGCCTTTAAAATGTACTCCAAAGAAATTTTAAAAATTTAAAAACCCAACAGTTAAACAGAATCACTGATAAATGCCAGGGAAAGATTAAAGTTAGTACACAAAATTCTTTGAGGGCACCTACCTAGAGAAAGCTTTGGGAAGAAGTGCACTACCACCTTACAATGCCAAATAACTAACTTTATGTGATAGGGGAACAATCAGCTGGAAGTTAGAAAATCATTTTCAGTAAGTGACAAGAATGATTTAGTGATTCTCTTAAAGGCCCTGGGTGGTTTGGACTAAGATTTGATTTAAAACCTGCATTAATTTTGGAGCAAAGGAACAACTGAAGCTCTTAATGAAGTGGATTGGACTTTAAATGCCGAACTCTCAGCAATAATGAGATCAGCAGTAACTCCATTCAGGTAAGGGTTTTTGTCAAAATGACACAGAATAGAGCTTCAACAGCTAACAGCTAACTACAACAAACAGGAAAGCAGAGCTCTGATCTGCTCACTGGAATTTAACACTGCCTTCCCTGTGCTCTGCCATCCCCACAGGAAAGAAGGAAGGAAATGATCCCAGGACTGAAGGGCCCTGCTGGTGCCTGCATGGCAAACCAGCAATTCTGCATCCCTCTGGGTACCCAGAGCTGCCCCACAGACCTGGAACACTGACTGATCAAGAATTCCTCCTGCTCATTTCACTCAAGGGTTTTCTTTTCCAATTCCACCTCTGTGAGCCATTTACAGTTCAGAGGGTTGGGAGCCAGCAGCACTACAGACTGCTGCTGCATGAACAGCACTTAGTTAGTTCAGAAGCCCTGTTAAGATGACTTAGAAAAGAACAATTTATATTTGAACTGATGATTCCATCATTTCCCTGAGATTTAAGCTGTAAGAGGAACTGAGAGAAAGCATTAAATATTGAACTTGGACTCCAGAGAGGTGTCTGACGTGGTGATAGACACACAGGCTACAGGATTTGTTCTTATAAAACTGCTCAGTAAAGGGGCACACCTGCAATTACTGTGGATTTCTTGGTCTCTGCTAGCACTCATGTGGGGCGGAAAGAAAAAAAGCTGAAGGACAGGACAAGTAAGAAACTTTTTGCCAACGCTGTCATGCCTTAGCTTTAAGTTGTTCTGCCACTTAAAGAACTTGGCCTTAAAATAACTTTTCCCCTCTAAACTTTAAAAATTCTATTTTCTAGGAATACTACTAAAATGCAAGAATTTCAAAAAGTAACATTTCTGCAGCACTGTCAGGGGCCCAAGGCCAGCATTCCATGAGAATGGAAATTCTATGATTCTGGGAAGAGATACAGAAAATCACTTCTTGGGAAACAAAATCCACACACAAGCTGGCTATTTCCATTCTGAACATCCAGGGCCAAGTCTGTGCACACATCTGGACAGGTTTAACACCTCCAAGTTTTAAATTCCAGACATGGCAACTCTGCAAGCTTTCTTTAATCAACTTTGTTTTCTCTAGCACCCTCTTCAGAATAAGCAGTCCAGAGATGACCACAGGTCAGACTGAAATTTAAAGGGCCCCCAAAAAATTCATTTAAGGTATTGATACATGTCCCTTTCCAAAGATGACACCACTGAAGAGCCAGCTCTCAGACTCTGGAGGTCACTGGCCCAGAAATGACAGGGATCCACCATTCTCCCACAGCAATTGCTTCCTTTGTAGGAAGATCCTCACAGGACTTGGCATTTCTTTGCAGGATTTTAAAATAATAGGGTTATTTCATATATTCCAGTAGTATTTGGCCTGATTTCAAACAAAAGATACTTCTAGACTTGTTTCCAAACCCCATATGAGTCTGTTCTAATATTTGAAGATACTGTATTCTTTTCCACTGAGTGACAGGTCTGAAGGGGTTCCTTGGGTCGAAAGAGTATTTTCTGAAAGCCTGAGAGAGGAATATTTGGGGAAGGAGAGAGAAGCAAGAAATGAGTAAAAAACAAGCTGAATGACAGGACAAAGCTGCAGCAGAATTCTAACAATTCCCATTAGAGAAGAGAATCAATTTCCTGTGGGAGCCTGCAACTGAACTCTGTGAACAGAAAATTGTTCCTAAAGACTTCAACCAAAGAATGTCATGTTGGTTATCCCTCTCCTCACTGAGGGAGAGGCTTGGCTTTGCAGACTGGAATTCCCCAGGCCCCTGCTCTCCACCAGCTTCACTGATTAGGAACCACATCAAAAGAGCCCATGGATTCCCACCTCCTTGACAGAGAACACCAGAGGAGTTCTCTAATCCAAACAGTCTATAATCTACTCGAGTCTGTCTGCAACATCTTGAGGAAATTGTAAAGCCTTCAGAAAGGCACTTGGGGGTGGATGATGTCAGGTTACAGCCAGGGAGGATCACTCTCAGTGTATTTCAGCTAGTCCTCCAGTCTTGAACAGCTTTTTCTGAAGAGCGCTGAAGAAACTTCCGGTCATTTGAGAATAACTTGTCCTGAAGAGAGGACAAGTGTGATAGCTCCCTTTTTAACATTCCCCAGGGCCAGCCATCTCTCTGCAGTTGTAGATTAACTGTATAATTTACCTGGGCAGCCAGAAGGCATTAACAACAATGATGAAAAAAGCACTTTTGAATTTTCCTTACTGGGCACAAAACAAGCAGCAGCAAAAAGCAGGACAACTGAGGGAACAGAAGTCCTACAAAATGTAAGAACAGGAAGATTCTAGATTTGGAAAGTGAATCAGCGGGACTTGCAAAAACTCCTCAAGACCTGTTGCTGATAGAAATTCCTTAAATTTCTCATCATCTTCAACAAATGCCCATTTTCATCTTCTCACCTCCTGTGAAGTCTTCTCTTCACCTGTTTTTATCTGGTCAAAAGGGAAGATAATCCAGCACGTTTGGTACAGGGGTGGCCCCCCTGCTAACCCCTAAAGAATTTCAAGGGCCAGCCTTGGCACAAACTCAGTGTCAGTGAGAAGACACCCTCTGCAAATAAAAAGCATTTTTGACAAGGCAGCAGCAGCTCAGGCAGAATAGTTTGGGACCTGGCTGCCATTTAAGCAAAAAGATACAGGGGGTGCCACCCTGCCAGCACAAGGACTGCAGTGCTCAAGGGTTTCATTCTCCACTGCTGCAAACTGGGGCTGAAAGAAAGCTGGAGGAGAAGAGGGATGAAATGAAAGCTGTAGTGAGCAGTCTAGGACACAAAGTCACCTGTTCAATTTGTACTAGTGGAATCAGGGTCCAGAAAATGTTAACATCAGCTGAAGCAGCAAGGTACAATAAAGTATGATCAATGGGTTTTAATTCTCTGCAGCAAGTGGAGCAGACAAGCAAATTATCTCAGATGTTTTTCAATATTTTAAATTAAATCTTAAACATAACCTTACACATTTTCAGTTATGAACTCACCAGGCAGTTGGCTGAAGAACAGGATTAAGATACAACCACTTTCATCCATCATTAATATCAATGTCAAAAAAATAGGTTTTATTCCTGAGCTGATAAAGTTCAATAAAAACACCAAGACTACTTTAGAGAATTCTATGAAATTCTAAATGAAAAGCATTACTCAACAGCCTGTTCTGTAATACATGAGTTTAACAGATATTTCAAGTCTCTCTCAATTACATTAAAGAAAGTATTCAGTCAACTACAATCAAAGTTAAAACAAAAAAGTGCCTGCGATCGAAGGATCATTATTCCAGACCTGTTGTGAATCAGTGAAAAGGAGAGTAGCAAAGGACATACCTTGGAACTGCTCCCAAAACAATCAAGTTGGCTTTTTGTTTGTTGTTTCCAATTACAGCATTTTTCATATCTCTGTAAATCCAGAAAGAAAAACAAACCCTGGTAAATTATGCTGAGGTACTGAGGGCTTATCTATAGAATTTACTATTTCCATGAGGCTTATCAAGCAGTTTTCCACATGTCCATGCTGCAGCTACAGACTGGGCAGTGCTTCAGGGCACAGTTCCCTCAGCCCACAGGAAAATACCCCAGAGCTCTGGGATTCCACTACATCCCAGCTCCTGCAAGTAAGCAAAAACCCAAACTATCTCACATGCACACCATACACCAAGAAATCTTATTACTGACAAAAACTAGATATACTGGTTCTTTGTGCCCACATTGTCACTAGACTTCTCAAACAATTTCAAAACCCCAGCACTGGTTGGGAAGTCAAATATTGGGAATTTAAAGTATTAACTGAATAGTCTACTGGGTGCAGGGAAAGGCAAGCTAAGAAAAAGGAACAAGGATCCATCAGCAGTCTCCAGAGACCAGGCTTTACTCTCTCCACCCCAGGCTTCCTTTCATGTATTTCAGCAGGACATCTAAACATCTGTACATCAAAACCTCAGGGATGAAATGGAAACCAGAGCATTTTCCCACCTGAGAGTCCCTGCACAGTTTCACACATGACAGGCATTCATACCAGAGAGGTACCAGAACATGGGAAGCACTTTGGGAAGTGGACACTGGTTGCACACACTAAGAATTCCTATGAAAACCTGTGGTTTGCAACCTTGTTCAGAAAATTGCTATTGTATCCTAAAAACCACCAACATCTGCTCTTTTTTCTCTTCAAATGAGCACAATGAGCACACATGAACATCCAGAGAATCTGAAAGCAAGCTTGCAGCTTAGAACTGGTTTCTGAAAATTGAGATGATTCAATTCTAGGAAGCTTTCTAGTTGTTGGGGCCTTTAAGAGCACAGAATAAAGAGAGATCAACTTCAGGTAATTCTTTACCACCAAAAAACCAAACCAAAACTGATAAGCTAATCACTACACATATAATTTATTCAAACCATTTGGAAGTGTTAGTAGTTGCTTTAAGTGAGCACATTTTCTTGCCTTTCTATCTCTCCCATCTGCTATCTGCAATTTTTAAGGAACATAGAGCAGCCCTGTCCTGTGAGATCTGCCCTGGCCAGCAGGAACACTATACATTCCTTTGGTGTGCACTGAAAAAGCAGATTTCACTGCACCAAGCAGCAGTTCCAAGAGCCCCAAGTTTAACAACTCCCACCACTAGAGTTGTAAAAGACTCCTTAGCCAAGGCAGGCAACTCCTTACAGGCACAAACAGGACCTCCACAAAGCTCAATTAGCAAAAGGTAATTGCCTGTCCTCCCTGGATTTCTCCACATGCATGCACAAGAGTACTTGAGGAATTCCAGGCTAGCTCCAAGTCTAGCTGTGATCCCAGAGCTCCAGCATGGGATCATCACTCAAAGCAGCTCAGCTGCACTTCTGTGCACCCCCGAGCCCAGCAGAGTCAGGAACCCCCTGCAAGGAGCCAGCACTGAACAGCAACTGCCAGCCCAGCCCAGCTCCAGTTAGCTCAGCATCAGAGGGAATGCTGCACCTTCCTGTTGTGTCCCCCTAAGGTGGGTAACTTCACACCATCAGGCAGGAGGCAGAGGAGAAAGAGCAAGGTCAGGAGACAGGCTAAGCTGGAAGCCCCTGAAAATTCCACAAATGAAGTTGAAGTTGTCACTAAAATCAGAAACAGTACTTCAGTGGTTTCTATGCTGAACCCTTCACATTAAAGGTAATTTTTAAAAGTTTGTGAAATGCACGAGTCAGTCCAAACAGTGGCAGAAGCAAGGGTCAGATGTCTCAGAGGAATAATGGAAGCTGCACCAACAGATGTGTCAAGTTCAGGCACCAAAGTGCTCAGGCCACTCAGAAGAAGCTGCCTCTCCCTGCTGCCCTGAGGCACCAGAGCCATCAAAAACTGCACCCTACCCACAACTGCAAAGGCATCTCAGGCAGCTAAAGGAGAGGCACCAACCAAGCACTCTGGAAATTACCAAACAGATTTTGGTGATGCTTTAATACTCTGTGCTTGTGATTTTACATTCTATTTTGTGTAAAAAATCCAAAATAACAAACAAAACTGAAAACAACACTAACCAACTTTTGTGACCCCTGCTCCAATCCCCAACAGAATGGTTTGTTAACCTTATAATCATCTAATTAGTATTGCCTATTAGGATTCCATTCAGAGACCCTTTCACAAGTGGCAGGAGCATGGCCAAGTTCCACAGCACTCAAGTGGAGAGGGTAAGAGAGGGCACAGTCCTGATCTGTAAATTATTCAGATTAATTTCTCCATCCCACTTTCATAAAGTTCCTCAGAACAGTTATGTCAGACAGGTAAGAAATGGCACAAACTTGAGATTTCTGACAGATCCAACACATGTACATTTGACCAACTTCAACTTGCAGGCAGGTCAAAAACCCTGAGATTGGTAACATGACCAGAACCTGTCAGACAGGGCTCAAAGGTCCCCATGTCTGTGTGCACTCCCAAGCTCCTGCCACACTTCTCTCTTCCAAGTGCCACCTACAGAAGTGACCCATTCAATACACAGGAAGCTGTGGATATGGAATGCAAGAACACCCTTAAAATGCCACATTCAAATGCTGCATAGTAGTAGACTTTGTTGAGTACTATGAAAAATAATTATGTAATTGCATATGCTATTTTATAGAGATTTTCCTGATCAGGAAGCTGGTTCCCTAAGAAGCAAGGAACTACCATATGCTGTCCTATACCATCAGGTCCTTGGTGAATCACAAACCTTGGAAAAACTGAGGGCAACTCCCTCATTTGAGAACATTACCTCCAACAAGTTCAAGCTTGCCTGATCTCAGATCCAAGACATCATGACATACATCCAAGGAAAAAAAAGCAGCAAAGATCACTGTCTTGTACAAAAAAGGAGGCAACAAAGAAACCTCAGAAACCGAGTCCAAAACTAACCCCCAGTTTATTTCCAAATGTCAGGCACCCTGCTGCCATTTCCCCTGTGCAGGAGGGAAAAGGGAACAGCAGCACCAGTGCAGTCAGAGGGAGATGAGAACTCCACAAGTACAAAACACCCTGGTGAGTCCAGGCCTGACCTGTGACAGGACCATGACCCAGAGGGAGATGCAGCATTCCCAGCTCCCAGCTCAGGGTGTGAGCCAGCTGCCAGCAGCCTCCCAAGGAAAACTCAGAGCTGGCACCTGCACCCACAACACCTCAGCACCAGAGAGTGCCTCAGCTACAACAGCAACTCTGTGGAGAGGCCAAAGACAAACCTGGAGCTCCACAAAACAGAGCCCTTAAGATGCATTTGATGTTGGCTGGGTTTTTGATTCGGGCTTTTATCTACCCTGTATATTAAATCTTAGTTTAGATTCAAACTAAATTCCAAATCATTTAACAAAATGACCTTCATTACAATCAATTTAATGCATAGATTTAAAATCTGATATTTATGCTGACATGTATTAGAGTGCAATAAAGTAATTTACATGGAAAAAAACCTGCAAGAAGGAATAACACAGGCTGCCAACAATAAAATACTGCAGAGCTCCCAGCTAAGTGCTTGGGAATATTGCATCCTGAAGTGCTAAACCAGCTTTTTCAATCTATTATTGCTTCTTAAAGAAATAAAAATATCGTTTCATCAGCTGAACCTGTAATCATTCAGCTTTAAGTGATGAAACAACCTAGAGACTGGAAAAGCAGCAAGACTGATTTTCTTCCAACAACTTGAGAAAATCAGTTGGGTGATGTTTATCAGCTATAACAATGTTTCAGAACATTGCAACCCAAAAGCAATCAGTTTAATTAATTAGCTATAAATAAAATGCAGTGTATGCTAGTATATGAACACAGCATGAGTGTTTAAAAATATTTTAGGAGTACATTAAACTAAAGAAAAATCTAATTTCCATCTAAATACAGCTTGACAAGATTTACAAGAAGAACTAATTTGCCAACTGTGCATGAAGTTCTGGTTTTATTTTGATATTTAATGTGTAATTGTTTAAAGGCACCAGACATAGCCACTTCAGACAAGCAAGAAGTGACATTAAATACAACAGTCTGCAAGTAAAATATGGTCTTTCAGTTTCAATGATTCCTAACCAATAAAGACCAATATTATTAAATGCCTACATCCTGAGAAAATGAGTAGTCAATGAAAATTACTATTGCAGAAGGAAGCTGAGGAGCTGACCTTTACCCCCCACAGAAGTTACTGAAGTTCAACACCTCAATGAAGTCAGTTCTAAGTCTGGGACTCCTTCCACAGAATAAAACCCCAGTGAAACATAAGAGTGAGCTCAGGTCCCAGCTGAGAAAGAAGAGACTTTCCCAGCACCCCCAGTGAGCCCCCATACCTGCATCTCTCCTGCAAAAGAAATCCTGAGAAGGCAGCATGGGTACAAGGACAAGGTGACAATTTGGCTCTACCTTCTTTTTTAAGCTATAGTAAATCAAGCACAAACAGAATAAATTATAAAATTCTGTTAGGAAGCCCTGGAGCTTTCCTACATCACCTTCCACCAAAGCAACACAAAAGATCTTGAAATGAGCCAGAGTGACTTGAGGAAGCAGCCACAGGAACTCCTCAGAAGAAGAGGAAATAAACAGCCTGCATGACATTTCCTCATCTTACGGCTTTTGAAAACAGCAGAGAGCCACAACTCAGGGGTTCCTGACAGAGGAGGGTATCAAACATGAGCTGAACAATCACAGAAGGAAAAGGACCCCTTGGCACCTGCAGCCAATGCTTTCACTTTTACTATGAAATAGTTCCAAGAGATTCTGAGCCAGTTATGCAGCCAGACAAAGCTCCCAACACAAAGCACTGTCAGGGCTGGAGATTCATCTGGCAGGGGCTGTCCAAAGTCACAACAACAGAGTGACACAAAGCAGCATTCCCAAAGGTTTTAAAAACCCAAAATGCAACCCTCTAAAAGCTGAGGTACTGCAGCTGATACAGGGACACAGCTCAGAGGAAGACCAGCTGCCC